TGCTTCTGAAACCTCAAAGCTCACTACCTGGGACACACTTGTTCCAACAAGGTCAAACCTCTTAATAGTGCTTACTCCCTGTAAGCCTTGGTGCATTCAAACTGAAACACTTATATGAAAGAATGCCTAACAACAAAGCTAGACTAGCAGATCTGGTAGGCCCTCCTTAGAAGAGCTATACCTTCAAAAGACTTTCAGATGACTTCACAAGGGTGCTGTTTGGAATATGCAAATGCAATTCTTTGTAAACTGTAATCTCTCTTCTGCTTCTTTTTTAACTTGGCTACCTGGGTCCCTTGTTTGCTGTCTTCAAGTGTTGGACCCTTGTGTCCAATCACCGAGGAGGAAGAGTCACCCCAAGAGACCATCTCTCATATCACAGCTTATGTAAAAACATGAGGATTTTATTAATTCTGTCATGACAGGGTCTTCCAGCAGTCGGGAGGCAAAAAACCCTGAATGTCTGGTACAGGATATTTTCAAAGGGAACATAGAAGGAAGGAGTGTCTGGGGGTTGTTATTTAACTATTATGATTGGCTTATTCAAAAGGGTTATTACCAATAATTGGCTGGAAAGTGGTTGCCAGATCAGATGAGGTGAAGGGACACTTCTGGGGATTACTTTGCCCCTTCCCAGGGACTAAGTCAAAACATCAATAACTGAGTCAACACCTAAGGGTTATTTTGCCCCTATTCAGGGAGATGGAAAGTTCCCAACATCTCAGTATGTGCATGCATAGCTGTTATGTCCTTGGTTCCCAGGGGAGGAGGGGAAGTACTGAGAATTGTCAGAAATGGCTTCAGAATTGTCTTAAAGTTCTACACAAGGTTGCTACACAATCTGGAAAAGGAGTTGGTCAGCAATACATAGAAATGATCTGAATTTCTCCTGTCACTTTATAGTTGATTCTTTTTTGAATCAATAGTTGCTTTGCTATAAAATTTCAAGCATTGTCAGACTTTTGGCCAGGTTTTAATTCTGACACTTCTAATTAAGGTTTTAGAGCTTAAAGGGTACTGGAAATGCATAGAGGATCACGTTTACAACAACACTCTGGATCCTTTTCTTATGGCACATAGCAATATTCTAGAAGAGATAACACTAAAATGGTATTGCTGGCATCCATCAACATGCTGAGTCCAATTTTGGCTATTATTAATTCTGGTATCACTCCAACTATCCACCTGTGATGACACCCATGGGTAACCATATTTCTGGAATAAATGTGAAAAGGAAATAGTTATGTCTGAGAGTATCCAAATCAGCTCGGAGTAATCGACCGTAACAAGAGTGTCTCATCTTAGGTAAACAATAGAGATGCCAGCAGACTCACATTTAATAGAGAATGAAATTGTTGCTGTTATGGTCCCAGAGTTGTATGATGCAATAAAAAGTAAAATAATGATAAACATATAAGTAAATAAAAATACTGTTTATGTAAATTAAAATTGCACTCTGCTTCATTTAAATGACAATTTAATTGCATGGTACATTTACATAATACTAAGGAAATTAAAATATATGAAGGCTTGCATTGTCCAAGAATAAGAAAGAATATTTATAGTAGATTCTAAGAAGCATTTTGTAATGAAGAGTTGAAAATATATCCACAACTTTGGTACCACTATAGTTGGCAGAATGAACCTGGGAGACAGGAGCCTGAAAATGAGGGGAACCAAACTCTCATACATTATTCAAGGCATCAGACAATTTATATTCTGAGGGTATTTTGAGGGTTAAGTAAGGTCATGTAAGCAAAGTTCACTTGAGTTCAAGTTGCACACAATCCCAATGGCAAGGTCACACGAGTTTAGGCTGTTTATATTTGCAAGGACAACCTGTGGTTGGAAACATCATTTTGAATAATAATGGTTAAGATAATGGGTAATCTAAAGTAAACCACCGATCCCTATTTACTATATCTGGGAGGGGCACAAAAGCACATTCCAAGAACAAATCTGTGCTGTGGAAGAACAAAGGTTTTATCTTGTCTACTTGAAGTTTTCTCACAAATTCTCAGAAATCTCCAGTTTTATTCTGTTAATCCCACTTGGCGAGAATAAGACTACCACCATAATTTTTAAAGCAAGCTGGTCAGGACGATGGATACTGGCCAAATCCATACCCAGGATTCCCAGAGAATGGCGGTGAATTACATTAGTCCAGTGCTTATTAAAGCAAAACCCACGAAGCTACACACTCCTCACCTTCCTCCAATCAGGGCAAACATACATCCTAATGTACTTTCTGCCTATGTACCTCCTGCCTTCACGTGATCAAGCACACACACCCTGTGTAGTTGGGGCAACCAACCTTGTTTACAAAACTGAAAGGTGTGGCTTGTTATCTTACAGGGACAATAGCACCCAGCATTCCAAAAAGTTATCTGTCCTTGTACAAATGGAGCTTCCAGCTTAGAGGCATTTTTGTTTTATAGATTTCTTTTTTATATATAGATTTCTTAAATACAGTAATTAAAACTTAAAACATAACTTAAGCCCTCACAATTCATGGACTGTGTTCCAATATAATATATTTGAGATTAAGGACTCATTAAGAACATAAGAAATCTTTAAGAGAAAGAAAGGCAGATAGTATAAATAAAGAATAAGCAAAAACAAACAAAACTCTGACTGACATTGACAAAAGAGGCATTTAAATAGTTTAAGTGTATAAGTTCATTTTTATCTAGGAAATGAAGTTAAACTAGGAGGTGGTGGCACACGCCTTTAATCCCAGCGTTCTGGGAGGCAGAGGCAGGTGGATCTCTGTGAGTCTGAGGTCAGCCTGATCTACAAGAGCTAGTTCCAGCAAAAAAAAAAAAAAAAAAGAAATGCAAGTTAAATCCACATCGTGATGTCCATAAATATATGTGTATATATGTGTAAAAAATGAAAAGAAGTACAAACAAATACAACTGAAAATACTATCTTTGGCAAATGCTGAGTAATCAGATTTTTTCCTTGATTATGAACATGGAAATTGATGAAACCAAAAAGTTACTGGGAGATATCCATTACTCTTAAGCAAAAAAGTATATTCTGGGGCACAGTCATATGACACTTCATAATATACCAAAATCAAATGTAGAGCTATAGGCACCAATGATCTGGTACAAGAATATCCATACCAGCATCATTAGTAATACTTCAAACTTTAAATAACCCAATATTGAGAAACAGTAGGATGAACAAAATTTGAAATTATGAACAAAACTGAGAATGTTAAAGTACTACAATATTCTTTTAATAGATATCAATATTACAAATATTACTTATTTCCTTATTGCTTAGATAAAGTGTAAGACAAAACAAACAAGGAAGGAAAGATCTATTGTGGCTCACATTTAGGGCACAATCCAACATGGCACAGAAGGCCTGGTAGCAGGGGTGTGAGGCCTGTGGTCAGAGGCACCCACAGTCTGGAAACACACCAAGGTGAATGCGTCTGCTTGGCTCATTTAATTTGTTTGGAGACGCCAGAACATGAATGTTGCTCCCCCACATTCAGGGTGAGTTTCCCATTTCAATTAATGCAACCTAGGAACTTTCCCAGACATGCCCAGACATCTGTCTCATAGGTGATTTTAGATCCTGGGAAGTTGATAATCAAGATGGATATCAAGGTAAAAGAGGCACTTGGAGTATGTACTGTGCCTGGAAAGTCCAAGATCGGGAAAACTAATCACAGTGGTAATACTCTCAGAACAGTGGATACTGTTAAATAACTAGGAAGAAGGCATTATAGCAATTACACAAGCTGCTTCACCTTGTCACCCAAATGATTTCGCACAAAATCCCTGCACTTAGTTTGTTTATATACACACACCTTGTCGTTTTTTTCATGTCTATCAACTTAGGTTAAAAAAATCAAAATTTTCCTGTTATGTCTCTTCAAAGGGATACCAGGAAGGATAATTTAAATTCCATGGGTGGAAACAGACGCTGTAGCAGCACCAGTGGACCTCATCAGAGGTGCCTACTGCTAGGATTGAAGATATATGCATCCTGAGATCCAGTGTGTTCTCTTGTTAGTGTCTCCACCAAAACCAGTACTTGGACAGAACTAGTAAAATGCATCCACACATGTTTAAGGTAGCATTTCTCCTACTAGCAATAAAAGAAATATACTTTTTGTCTGAGGGCACAGAAGTGGCAAATTATACATATTGGCTCTAAGGACTATTGTAGAGTATTTAAAAACCAATGAGGCACACTTAAGGATAAATGAATATCAGGACGTGAGTGTTAAATATTTTCACAAGTCAATGTCCAGGAGCTAGGACCCATCTCATAAAGATAGAACTTTTAGTTAGTTCATAAACACAGATTTCACCCAACTTATAATGTTCAAAAGTTTTGCATGCACATAAATTCACTTCTGTACTTTAAATATTATAGAGCCAATTAAAATAACTTTATAAGAGTATTCTAATTATCAGTATTATTTTTTAATAAACTGAGCATCTTCAGAACTGATGGGGCATTTTATCTTCCTTTACACCTTTACATTTTTGAAGGATCTATTGGGCAAAATACAATCATCACTTTGTGCCCAGTTTCGTGTGTAACAATGATCAGTAAGAAAAGGCATTACGGAGTGGGAGAGCAGAAAAAAGGCTTCCTATGTTAAGTCTGGGCGAGTTGAAAGTTATTATGGCGTCCTAAATCAGGTTCTTGGTGGACACATTAAACCAAGCAGGCAGGGCCTGAAATCCACCCTCAGGATTACTTTTCACCGGCTGCAGTCTAATCCTTATAAAGCGACTAAATGAAACCGTCTCCAGAATCCAACAGGAAGATAAAATCTGCTACAAACTCTCAGCTGTGATATGGAGAGCCTAAAGGGTTCTGGAGGCTCGGCCAGTTCCAGACCCGCCCCCTGCCTCCTTCCTGAGCCGTCTACTGGTCGTCACAAGACTGACAATGCTTCAAACCATTCCGCCGTCTCCTGCACCTCCTCTCTATTCCGGCGAGCCGCAGCGTCTGTGCGTGGTCAGCGTGTTGACGTCACCGGTGGGTCCCGCCCTGCTGCCCCGCCCCAGCCCGGCGGGCCTGGACCGCGGAGCCGGGTCTGCAGGCCAGCGGGCGGCTCGCGCCGCAGAGGAGGTAGGCTGTTTTCCTGTAGCCCTACTGGGCAAGTCGTAGAGGTTCGGGGCTCGCAGGACTCCCCACGCCTGACCAGGGCCGTGCGACCTGTGGGTGCAAAAGCGGCGGAGTGCGGGAGGATCTTGGGCCCCGGGCCCACTCCCACACTCCAGGAGGCGGGCGGTCCAGCCTCGGCGCAGTGCCATGCACCCTTGTTAAGACCGGGATGACAGGCGGTTGTCGGCTGGCAGGTTACTGTCAGTTACCAGCCTTGCGCCTGCATCCCCAAAAGCCCTGAGATAACAAAACGAAACGAAAATTAAAGCATGAGTCACGAATGTTTTAGCTCTCCGCTTTGCTCACTCATCCTCATTCTGCTTTTTTTTTTTTTTTAAATCTCGGTATAGTTCTTTCTCTTCCTCTTTTGGTTGGAACATGAGTGGACATCGTGGAACTTTTCTTACTGTTCTCTTAATACGGCAGTTGTAAAGGCATTTGGCTCTTTTCATAGATGGAATCACCGGATCCATCACTTGACCCAAGACTAGATTGGGTAAGGTTAGTAAGATTGGACACAGTGACAGGTCTGACTTCTCAGTGCTCTAGAGTTTCTCCAGCATGTCCCGTCTGTTGTCTTTGTTTAAGGGTCCTAAACGGAATTCTCACCTTTGCTTCATCTGACCATCATCCTCTTCTAGAGCAAAATTGGATGAAAAAGAACAATTTTTATTGTGTAATGGCTGTATTTATGGATCAGTAAAGTGCTGGATAAACATGCCCGTGAAGGGACAGTGCATACTGTGCTTCCCTTTCTTTCCTGAAATCCATACATTTGTAATAATTTGTATTGTTAGGAAGAATACATTTTTCTTTGAAATCTTCCTGTTTCAAACATGGACCTTTAAAAGTTACATCATCAAATGCACCAAAGAAAGGAAGTGAAAACTGCTCCAAGGACTAGTGATTATCATTTGGATTTATTCATTAGATAATTTATATGATGAATGTCTGTCTGTGCCATATGCTGTTTTGGGTGTTGGAAATTGAGGCTTGAACATTAGATAAGGCTCTGGCGCTCAAATTCCTTAAATTTTTGTGAAGATAGAATATATGTGCGAATAGAATCCTGGTTTTAGATAGGAGCGAATGCTAGACTATCAAGCAGTAGGATACGTTGGTGTGGCTGCGGTGTGATCCAGGAAAATGTCCCTGAAGAGGTGATGGTCTGATGAAACCTGAGTGTTTGGAGTGAGTCATGGGGAGATCAGGAAGTTGCCAGTTACAAGGCAGAGGCTGGGAAGGAAGAGGTGGCTTAGTGGCAGGGGAGTCTGATGGCTCTAAGAGGAAACAGTGGGCGAGTGGACCTTGGTTGGAGGTGGTGCTGTAAAAGGAACAGGAATCTGAGGCCTGAGAGGAAGGGCAGACTTTCAAGGTGCTCAGACTCTCAGCAGCTTTCTGTTTATTTTGATTATGAAGAATTCATTTTGTAGTTTTCTCTTTGGAGGTCCTCTTAATGAAGAATGGCCCTCTTTCCCCTAGTCCTGTATCCCACAGTTACTTTTCCTATCCATTGTTGCTGTGTGCAAGATTCAAACACCCTGCATATCTTCGGCTCTAGCTTTTATCTCCTTACTCCTAGTTGTCAATCATTTCCAATACAGCCTTTTGTGTGTGTGTGTGTGTGTGTGTGTGTGTGTGTGTGTGTGTGTGTAGTTTTTTGAGACAGGGTTTCTTTGTAGTTTTGGAGCCCGTCCTGAAACTAGCTCTTGTAGACCAGGCTGGCCTCAAACTCACAGAGATCCTCCTGCCTCTGCCTCCCGAGTGATGGGATTAAAGGCGTGCACCATCACTGCCTGGCTTTCCGTACAGTCTTTATCTGCTTTCCATTTAGAAAGCGCTGGCAGGCAGTCCTGCTCTGTCCAAACATATGCTACGAAAGTGTAACAGTAAGTAGGTTAACCTTTCCCATTAGAACTTGTATTAACAACTAAGGTTTGCTCTGTCTTTATTTAGTTCCTGCAGTTTTTGCAGTTTTCTGGGCACGTTGCATGCATTCTGTTCTTTCAGACTTAACGCAAATGCGAAACTTCACCAGTGAAGAAAACATTCACTAAGTCACCTCAGCTAGACTGCTGAGGTCATTAGCTTTACTCCAGTCCACTCCACATGCTCTCCCCTCTCCACCAGGCCTATAACAGGGTCTGCAGGTTGCTGATGTGTCACTGTAGAGCTCATGTAATGGGCCCTTTCCCTGGAGAAGGGGCTCTGGGACCAAGGTACGCAGTCTTGCCCACACTCAACGTGTACAGTGACCAAGCGTACCAAATGCTCACCTCCAGTATTTTATTGTGTTCTGTTTCCTTCTTGGAAATCCCTTAGCAAAGAGTGTTTGCCTACATCAAAGTACAGCATGTCAATATCTGGAATGCATTGTTCCTAAACTCGTAGAAGGCAGTTTAAAGGCTAGGACAGTGCTTTTCCTTGCACTAAAATAATCTTTTTAATTTTCTTCCCTTTTCCGAAGAAGTAGATGTTAGCACTTTACATGAGCCCTTCCTTTTTGTTAGGAGATTATTGCTTGTGAGTGACTCCCAGACAGTGGTACATATCGCTTGTGAGTGACTCCAGACAGTGGTACACAGGGCTTGCGAGAGGCTCCAAATACTGTGGTATATGATTGTAACACCATCTATATGCAAAGCTCTGGAAGGAGAAATCCCAAGCTGCAGGCCAGCCTGGACAACTTACCAAGACTCTGTCTCCTGCTTACATAGATCTAATCTACATGGAAAGTAGAAAGTATAAAAAGACAAGATCTCCTGAGTAAATTGGGAACATGGGGATCTTGGGGGAGGACTGAAGGGGGAAGGAAAGAGGCAGGGAGGGGAGCAGAGAAAAATATAGGACTCAATATATATCAATTTTAAAAAAAAGACTCTGTCTCCTGATTAAAATAATAAGACAGGATTGTAGCTCAGGGAAAGAATACTTGAATAGCCTTGGTTTCAGTCCACAGTATATCAGAAATTTTTAAATTCAAGTTTTAATTTCAGAGATAATTGAAAGAGATAAAAGTTGCTAATAGCTGGGCAGTGTTAACACACGCCTTTGATCCCAGCACTCGGAAGGCAGAGGCAGGTGGATCTCTGTGAGTTCAAGGCCAGTTTGGTCTACAAGAGCTAGAGCTAGTTCCAGGACATGCTCCAAAACTACAGAGAAACCCTGTCTCAAAACAAACAAACAAACAAACAAGCAAAAAGTTGCTAGTAGTTTCCCAGCCTGATTTTATTCTTAGATATGAGGTAATATGGCAGATAGTTTGCTGGTTCATTGTTTCTGGTACCAAGTAGAGGTCTTCCCATGACTGAGGAAGTACTTGGGTTAGCTCAGTGATGTAATTCTTCTCACGCTACTTTTAAAAAGTAGAAACCAGTTTATAAACTTTATGTGGTTGAGAAACCAGTTTGTTACCTGATTGAGAAATAGTGTAGTGTGGTCCTACAGTTTAAAAAGGGCCATTAGCTGTGTTTTCTTATTTGATGAAGTACATTAGGTTAATAACAATATTATAAAAATTAAAATCAGTAGTTTAATTTGCTTTCTGGCTACCCTTTTGACCTGTTATCATAATGGAAATTGAGTTTAATGACTTTAGACTAATATTAAGAGAATTGGCATCTTTCTTAAATGTCAGAAGATATTTACATTTATGCAAAAGAACTTTTTTGTACTTTAACCCAAAATAATCAAAACTGGATGTTTAGACAAGTCTCATTGTTTGTAAGGATACTCCTGCATCCGGTGCCCATATTCTTAGAGATCTAGGTTGTCAAAACCAGAGCCCACATTGTAGGCATCCAGTGTGTGCCGCAAACACGGATCCTGATGGCTTCAGTGCCACTGTCCATGCAGTGGCTTTTGCAGTGTGGAGCCCTTTAGCTTTATTTGCGCCATCTTATTGCTGGTAAGAGTTTCTTGGCTTTGTTTCCACAGAGCTGTCTTCCTGTTCCAGCTTGGGTCTGATTTCTGTAGTCTCCAGCCTGTCCCTTTTGAGAAACGTATATCTTTAGGTGTAAATGTTGACAACACATTGCTCCTGAAAAAGTCATGGTAAAATAGTTACAGTCATTAATATTGTTGATATAGCTGGAGAGCTGAGGTCCAGAGAGAGTGGCCTGGGGACTCTTGGCTACTTACCTGGGCCTGGTGAACACTGAATGCTTATGTTGAACTTTAGAACTCTGGGCAGGCTCTTTGCTCAGGACTTGCTGATGGTTTCCTATCTTTGTGAGCAGACTTACATATGGAAGGTAGTTCTTTTCCTATGAATGGAGAGCAAAGCCTCTGTTCTCACCCAGATCGTTGACTCTGGTTGTTGAAGTCTGGGGGATCTTCTTGGTCAGGAACTTAGTAGGGATGCTTTTGTCCTTTGAGTTTGAAAACTCTCTTCTGTTTTCTTTGGTTTCTCAGAGTCTCCCCCTCCCCCAAATGTTTTGTGACTAGTTCATCTTCACTTTATTAAATGCATGATTTGGCTCAGACCCTTTTAAGTAGAAGCAGTTACAGATTTCTGTATCCTGTGTCTCCCAGAATAATAGACTTTGAATATTGTTTATTGTTTATTATAGTATACTCTTATTTTTGTTTTAGAAAAATATATTCCATAATTCTTTGAATTAATCACTTCCTGTTTGTCAATTTGATGATGCAGAATCAGATAATTCCAGTAACATTTTTCTTTTTAAATGTATTTTAAATTTTTATTTTTAATCGTGCGCGCGTGTGTGTGTATGTGTGTGTGTGTGTGTGTGTGTGTGTGTGTGTGTGTGTGTGTGTAGGTGTAGGTATATGCACCTGTGAGTTCAGGCACCTGCAGAGTCCAAAAGAGAGCATCGGTTCCTCTGGAGCTGGAGTTGAAGTGCTTGTTAGCCACGCCCAGCAGCACTGAATTCAGGTCTTCTGCAAGGGCATTATGTGTTCTTAATTGCTGTGCTCCATTTCAGCTCGCGGTGAGAGCCTTC